GTGCTGCATCCTTCAGGGCTTTACCAATTGGACTGAAGTGGCTTTCAGCCCAGGCCAAAGAAAAACGGCGCCCCAAGCCGGTTGATTTTTGATTGGCGCACTCGGTAGAAATCAGCACTCAGAAAAAGAGGCGAAGCTTGTTGCCATATGTCGGATGACACACTTTCCATGTGCTGGCCGGCCTGCATGTGGTTTGATATTTGGGGAGTTATCTTTCAGGAATCGGGAGAAAATTGGCGGTCCAGTATCAATGATTTTAATAAAAAGAAGAGAATGGAGCTTTTTTTAATGGACAGAATGCAGTCAACTCCAAGAGCCCAACAAACACCAAACGTGGCACATGCAATCAGACTCGTTCTCAAACACACTTTTCATGCATGTAAACAGCAACGCAGCATACTGGCGACATACGCCCACTCAAAATTCAGATATATGGCTTTCAGATACGAGTTCACTCTCAATTGGCTATGGCGACTTCAGCGCCCAAACATCTCACTGTTCACATACACTGGATCACCCTGGATATCCCACACGCATCACTCTAACACTCGAACACACACACACACTCACTACTAACTACAGCTGTGGCAGCTGTCACTGCATCTACCCTATCGCTATGCTAACTCCCTCTCTCTAGCCCACTGCGTCCTCCGGGCTCATCTGCAGACCTCCTTGCACAAGTCGCTGTGGCAGCGCTTCCGCATGGCTCACGCAGGAATGAATGAATGGCTGGGCGCTGCCTCTTGATTTATACTTCAGAAATTCGTTGGTCTGCCCTTTGCCATCGGCCCTTGGTGCTCACAGTCCCCCTGTGGTACTTGCTGGACTGGACTGGGACTCTCTAGACCTTCTGCTGACTGTAGGCAGTCATACCGTCGACTCAGTGCAGTTGCACTGAGGTCCTACCTGTTGACCTTGCCACTTGTCTTCATCTGAAAACGTGGGCCTACCTTAGACTCACCACTTGACCACTTGCCGACCTTCTAGAAGGACTAAAGCTAGGCCTCTGGACTCTACTTGGACTCCTACCTTACAGGTCTACAGTTCGAATCTCCCTACAGCCTACAACCTACGGCCTGTCTCTTATACACATCTAGATGTGTATAAGAGACAGCAGGGAACTGTGCAGATACTGTACACAGGTAAGCTGAGGTCAAGGGATCGACCCCTGGGATCTGCATCGGCTACTGCCAAAGGTGAAAACTGTTTCACACACACAGACCTTGACCAAAAATAAAACAGGGCAAATAAAAACAACAGAAAAACCTAAAAAAAATGATCTCCAATGCACTTTTCAGGGTTGAGGGGTTAACTGGGGCTGAAAAGTGGGGGTCCCTGTTAACCGCTTATGTGGAGTTGTCCGCATATCTCACCCGACATCTTTGCCGGCAAGCCAGTTATTCTGATTTTTTTTTAATCTCTAGCTCCACCTTTCAAACCCACCACCACTGGACCTGGCTGCAAAGCGGCACTGTCCGGCAGGGGCAAATCGGTGTCTTTGTAGTTGGTATTTGTGAAAAGGCGGCCCTCCCGAGCTGTGGTGGTTTAAACCACTGCTGGTCCAGATGCATGGTGATCTCTCTCTCTCTCTCTCTCTCTCTCATGGTGTGTTTGTCATACTCGTAGCCTTCGACGAAGAACTCTGAAAAGGATCTGTGAGGCTGATCAAGTGCTGATCGGCTCCGGAAATCTGGATGGAAGGAAGCTGGATGGCAAATAAAGATCTTGTGGCAGAAGTATGCTTTTTTTGTTCGGGGCCGGGGGGGGGTATGCATATTTTTGCTCCGTGCTGGACCCGGTAGACACATAACTTTTTTTTCAGTGCTCAGGAAAATCACTAGGTTCAGATGTTGCTCCGTGCTGGACCTGTTAGACACAAAACTTTTTTTTTCAGTGCTCAGGAAAATCAATAGGTTCAGATGATGTGCTTTCGGAAAAATTAATAATTAAAAAAAGAAATCTGGAAGGCAAAAGAAGTTCCGGTGGCAAAAGTATGATGTCTTTGCTCCCTGCTGGACGGGGCTTCCTGGTGGGCCCATATTTTTTTTGGCTTGGTGTTCCTGGCTCAGAGAAATCGACACGTCCAAATGGATCCTCTATGGGAGGAAATTTGTAAATAAAAAAAGAAAGAAATCTCGATGGCAAAAGAAGTGCCCGTGGCAGAATTATGCATATCGTCGCTCCCCCTGCTGGACCCAGTAGGCCCAAAAATTTTTACCCCGTCGCTCCTCGGTAGGCCCAAAACTCTTTTGGCTCGGCGCTCCAGGCTCAGAGAAATCAACAAGTTCAGATGATCTGCCTTGGGGGGAAAGGGTGGAAAATTTGACATAGAAAGAGATCGGGATGGTGAAGAAAGTTCGCGTGGCAAAAGTATGCATATCGTTGCTCCCCCTGGTGGACCCTGTAGGCCCAAAAGTTTTTGCACCGGTGGTTCTGGGTAGGCCCAAAACCTTTTGGCTCGGTGCTCCAGGCTCAGAGAAATCAATATGTTCAGATGGTCACCATGATCTGTTTTGGGGGAAAAATTTTAAAAAATTGAAAAGAAAAATGTCGATGTCAAACGGATGTTCTGGTGGCAGAAGTATGCATATTTTTTCTCCCTGGATCATGTTTCCACAACAGTTTGGAACAGAGCTCAAAGTTTTATGGATTAGCAGTTTTATGGATTAGCACCTTAAACCAACAGTCGTACTCAACAATGGCCAGCAGCTGATGTATTTTGCTTCAGTGACTGAGCCCCAAAAGTTGCAGCACGTATACGACAACGGCGGGTGGCTAATGTATGGGCCAAGTGCTGGTGGTAAGGAATATGCTTAAGGGGACCCAGATAGGGCGGATGAATGGAAGAGAACTCTGGCAGAGGCCAAGGTAGCAGAGAGAAAAGGCGCAAAATTTATTTTCAAGCGGGGAAAGGTGCTGGTGGTTTAAGCCACCAGTACATGGCCCCAGGAAACTGGAGAACCTGTTTTGAGCCTCTCCGGAAATTTAGGAGGCCGAATCGGCAGTCGACGGCCTCTGAAAGGGGCCCACGGCCGGCAGCTGGCATGTACTGGTGCTTTAAAGGCAAAGGATATTGAGTTTCGTATTCAGTAGACATGCGAATTTCTCTCCAGCATACTAACAGTAAATCTGCGCTAGGGTTTCGTCTCACATCTGTGTTGGGATTAGCTTTCTGGCTGGACTTCTAGAATTGGGCTTGATGCCTCGTCTGCTATGGTGATATTTCAGAGCACATACATCTCTGTTTTTAGGGATGCAGGGCCCGACTCCCAGACGATATATATTACATCCTTCATTACAGACGCTGGACTCGATTGGACCCGATTGGTCTGATCTCCAGCTTACACACATCATATCAAAGCTAGGGTTTCGTCTCCTGGTCTGATAGTTAGGAGTGGGACTGATGCCTTGGTTCGCTTCGAGAGTCTGTAAATCTGATGGATAGGGTTATACCGTATATGATTAATGAACATACGTAGGATACATAGGATGTAGGAGATATCAACACATCTCTGTATTTCCAGCTGATACATCACATCATATCAAAGTTAGGGTCTCGTCTCCTGGTCTGTTAGTAAGGATTGGGATTGATGTCTTGTTTGTTTTTTGAGAATTTGTAGATCTGATGGATGGGGTATTACCATCATCTGACATGTATTGATTCACAAACATACATAGGAAGTATGACATATTGACACATCTCTGTATTGGGACGCTGGACCCGATTTCCAGCTGACACATTCACATCATTGTACATTTCCAGCAGGTGTAGCTCCCCACCAATAGATGGAGCCTTCGACGCTGGAGCCTACTTAACGAGGATGCTCTTATCACCTCGTTAAGTAGGTTTCCTGTATAAAATTCATTAACCCAACCTATACCTCATTCTTCTGATGCCTGGCGCCTCCGGATCCAAATGGCTGGCGGCACTAGCCAAAACAATAAGAAAAAGAAACAACGGCGGATGCGGCAGTTTTTGAGTTGGCAAAGGCAAAAAAGTTTCACTGCCGCTTCGGCAAAGCTTGGTGTGCAGTTCTTTTCCACCTCAGCAAAAAGAGGCTCGGAGGTAGCGGTGTGAAAAAAAAAAAGGGGTTAACTTCAGTAGAGTCACAAAAAACGGATTTATAATTGCTCTATGGGGCAAGATACAGTTTGCAATTGCACTTCGGGCACCCTACCTGGCCAGAAAGCTGGGTTGTATACATTGTCTGAACTGCAGTTTAAAACTGTATCTTGCAAAAGGGCCAGTTGGCTATATATGCTATGCATGGTTTAGGCCGTGCACCGTATGGACATCAAGACATATGGCTGGCAGAATTTCTGAACCCTCCAATAGGGTTGGCACGCTTTGCTGACCCTTCCAAAAAAAAAACAAAAAAAAAACACTGTATCTTGGCCCATAGTGCAATTATAACTCATTTCTGTGACTCCTCCCCCCCAAAAAAAGGATAGGACATAGGACAGGATATACGATAGGATATAGAATAGGGTATAGGATATAGGAAATCAGAGCACATGGTGTGCTTTTCTTCGTGTCTAGCTGGTGGTGGTGGACCTGGTGGTGGTGCAAATTTTGCACTGAACCACGAAAACATATAGTAGCTAGTGGATGAGATAGATGAGAAAAAATATGTACAGAGATTGAGAGTCTGTCTCTTATACACATCTAGATGTGTATAAGAGACAGGGATATAGGAAATCAGAGCACATGGTGTGCTTTTCTTCGTGTCTAGCTGGTGGTGGTGGACCTGGTGGTGGTGCAAATTTTGCACTGAACCACGAAAACATATAGTAGCTAGTGGATGAGATAGATGAGAAAAAATATGTACAGAGATTGAGAGTAGAATCATTCTAGATTAGCAAGGTGAACTCGTACATGTATCGAATTTGACACGCAAAACAAAGGGCCGAAGGCCAGAGTACGTTCCCACATACAGTGAAATTTTATTTGAGCCTAGACAACCCAACTCACGTCTTTAAACCTTTGACAGATTTAAAAGGACTCTATCTTAGTCCGATTCAGGCTCGAAGAAAAGAAAAGAAAAGAAAGAGTGAGATTGAGAGTAGAATCGTTATGCAGCGGAGGCAGGAGGGGGTGGAGATCGATGGGGGGGCGGTCTCTATGGAGCAGTGGTTAGATGACAGGATCGAGGAGATGTTGGATGTCATGTGGGAGCTGGAGGAGGGGCCGGATCCCCGGCTCGAACCCTACATCGGCTGGAGGCGGGCGGATGATGGGATGTATGTGTGTAAAGCCCTCTTTATAAAGGGCCGCAATATTCGCAATCAGTTGGAGGGTGAGATGGGTGATAAGGGCGAGGGCGGAGTGGATGCCAGCGGAGATAAATGCGGCGACGACACTGGCGATAGCAACAGAAGCAACAACAACAACAACAACAACAACAACAGCAATGACGACGACAACAACAACATCAGCAACAACGGCGGCGATGCTGGGGGTGGCAACAACAACAACAACAACAATCACAACAACAATAATGATGATGGTGGTAGTGACAACGATGGTGGCGGCAACGATCACGGCAGCGGCAACAACAACAACAATAACATTCACTACAGCGGCAGCAGCAGGGTTGAGAGCGGGGTTGGGGATGACATCAACAACAACAGCGACGATGCCGATAGTGTTGACGACGGAGGCAGCGATGACCACGGCAGCAGCGGGGCTGAAAGCCTTAGCACGACGGGTGTGATGCCGCATGCTGAAGTGGAGGGGATTGGGATTGATGTGGATAAGAGGTTTGCCATCGTCGTCTGGTTGAGGATAGGAGTGGGATGATCATTGTTGATTGTGTTGCCAATTGATGTCGATTGGTGTTGTCCGGCCCGCAATACCAATCAACAATGGAGTGCTGAGGGGGCCTGTTTAGGATATACATCGCGGGTGGTCAATCCTTCCCTTGCGTGGGGAAGTAATCAATGCCCCCACTTACATACATATCATATCTCTCATATTGTTTTGATTGATAAGGACCATTCACATCACAGCACATCATAGTTAGGGTTTTGTGTTTAGACATTGAAATTCACAAGATCACAAATCATCACACATATCACACAAATATTACACAAACATGTTAGGGTTTGCGTGGATCTCTGAAGGGACACTGGACCCGTTTCCAGCTGATACTTTCAGATGCATGTACAGGGACGCTGGACCCGATTTCCAGCAGGTGTAGCTCCCCACCAATAGATGGAGCCTTCGACGCCGGGACCTACTAACTGGGGATGCTCTTATCACCTCGTTAAGTAGGTTTCCCGTATAACGAAGTTAAAAAAAAAAAAAGAAAAAAAAAAAAGAGTAGAATCATTCTAGATTAGTTAAACAAGTGGATGCCCGCCGCAGGTGCGGCGGGGAGCATGAGGGGGGCCAGCTGACGCAGGGCCCCAGCAAAGAACTGCACAGCCAGTCCCAGCAGCAGCCGTCGGGCAGGGAAAAAAAAACCGCACGGGAAGGTATCCTTGCAAAAAGAAAAAGGAAGCACGGGAAGGTATCTGACCAAAATCCCGGCTAAGATCCGCTGTTCTTTTTCTTTCCCTGGGAGAGATGTGAAATGGGGGATGCTCTGTATTTGTTTCCGAACATGTGCCCAGGACAGCCATGCCCGAAGCACGGGTGGAGGCAGCATAACGTGGCTAAGGGCACCGCCACACCACTTTCGAAATGTGCTAAATGATAATGAACTTCCTGCCAGAACATGGCCTGGCCTGATGCACCGGCCACATTTTTTGTGTTTTTCACATTTGGACAGTGCTGTGGGGAGGCCCTAACGCAGCATGTGCTAGAAGCATGGGGAACTGGTTCCTGCTGGCTGCCGCATCTCACAGAAAGCCCAATAGAGAAAAAAACTGCTGAAGAGAAAAAAGGAACCAACGAAATTGAACGAATCCACTTTTTTGTCTTTTCTGCATGTCGGCAGTAGTAGAGCGAGGCCCAAAGAGTTAGGGCCATGCTCCACTACTCTTGAAATGTGCAAAATAAGAGTGAATCTTCCGCAAAGATACACTGCCATGATTTTTGTCTTTTGTGCATGTCGAGAGTAGTGGAGCGAGGCCCTTAGGGCCTGTTTGCACTACTCTCCGTAGTTGCACTTACTTGAGAGTGCATGGCTCCACAAGTCGAGATCAGGCAGACAATTTTTTTTAACTTTCCTGTAGAAGAAATATTGTGGTGAGCAAGTGCAACCAGGCACTCTCCACCCATCCGCCACGAATTGTGGCGCATGGCAAGTAGTGCAACTAGGCCCCACCAGGACCTCCGCGTTGTTTTTTAGAAGTCGCGGCCGTTAACGTGCCGCGACTTTCGGGGGTCAGGCAAGCCAACGTCCGGTCGCTACAAAAAAAAAAGAAAAAAAAGAAAGAAAGAAAAGAAAAGAAAGCACGAATTTCTCACACACAGAGAGAGAGAGAGAGAGAGAGAGAGAGAGAGAGAGAGAGAGAGAGAGAGAGAGAGAGAGAGAGATTCACGCCGAGTTTGGCGCACCAAACTCGGCGTCACTCTCTCTCTCTCTCTCTCTAAACTCCGCGTCAGTGGGCCTCGCTCGACATGCACAAAATACAAAAATCATCATGGTGTATGTTTCCATGTTCGCACAGACGATTCACTCTCATTTTGCAAATTTTAAGAGTAGTGGAGCCAGGCTCTCTCTCTCGCTCTCTCTCTCTCTCATGCGCATGTGTGCGCTTTCAGACTTGAAAGAATGAGAAAGAATCTACCCTCGTTTTTGCAGAAGGTTCATTCTCATTGCACATAGGGAGCAGCAGCTGCAGCCTTGAAAAAATGAGAAAGAATCTACCCGCGTTTTTGCAGAAGATTCATTCTGATTTTGCACATAGGGAGCAGCAGCTGCAGCGCGTCTGCATCTTTCTCCCGATGCGCGTTCACACACACACACACACACACACACACAGAGATAGAGAGAGAGAGAGAGAGAGAGAGAGAGAGAGAGAGACGCCGGGCTTGGTGCGCCAAACTCGGCGTCTCTCTCTCTCTCTCTCTCTCTCTCTCTCTCTCTCTCTCTCTCTCTCTCTCTCTGAACTCCGCGTCAGTCACGGTCAGTGGGCCTAGCTCGACATGCACAAAAGACAAAATCATCACGGTGTATCTTTCCATGTTCGCATGTACCTACCGGTAGCTCGAAGTTCGGCAAGGTTCGGGTTACCCGTAGGCTGAGCCACGGCCCTTAACAACCGCTAGGTACTGGTGGTTTAAAAAGGAAGATTCTGCTAAATAAAGAGATCAGCAACTCCACTTTTTTTGTCTTTTCTGCACGTGGTGAGTAGTAGAGTGTGGCCCTGAGAGCACTACTGCGGATCTCGCTCCGCTGCTCACCAGGGGCAAAGTTGAAATGAATCCTCCCCTTGGAACATAGAAAGATACACCGCCATACTTTTGTCTGCCAATCTCTGAATACCACGCCTCCAGGGGGCCAGGCAACAGGCAACAATTAGGACAGGAAAGCCCGTCTACATGAGTCAGTTGTCTGAGCTGGACCCGGTTTCCAGCAGGTGTTGCTCCCCACCAATAGATGGAGCCTTCAACCGTGGAGCCACTTAGGGGGCTGCTCATATCACCTTCCTAAGTGGTGGCCATGACTCGAAGTTAAAAAAAAAGAAGAAAAAAAAAAGAAAAAAAGAAAAAAAAGAAACGAATTTGCTTTCGGAAAAAACAAAAAACAACGAATCTTACTGGCAAATCTACTTGTCTACTTGGGGGACAATGGCGCTATGTGCTTGCATTCGAACATGCGCCGGCTCATGCGAGTTGGAAACAACGGCAACTGAGTAAGAAAAGTTGGGCCCGCCCTGTGTCCCGGCAGTTTTCCCAACAGTGGAGGCAGGTCTCGCGTAGGAGCGGACCCACGACTCGCTTTAAGAGTATAGAGGGGAAAAAAAAAACTCGAGGCAGCTGATCATGCTCCACTCCACCATGAGAACATGTGGGGGGGCTGTGTGCGTGCAGCAAGAAACTTCAGTGCATGTTCATTTTTCCTTTGTTTTCTGGTTGACTACGTTCGCTTTGACTACATTTGATTTGCAAAGTGGCTAAAGAGTGTGCGGCTCACAGTGTGGATTTTTGTAGATGAATTCTACTATGATTGTGGTCAGATTCAGCCCTGAACAGTCCTATCGTATGGCCTTAGTTGATATGTATGCATTTGTGTAAGAGCGAAGGTAGATCCGAACAGCCAGCCAACCACTTCCACTTTCTTCTTGCGGCCTATTCGGCCTCTCAAGTGAGCTCGGCGCTGGACTGTCTTCCCTGAGCATAACGTGGGTTTGTCATAGCTGCATCCAGTCCGGTTTCAGGCCAAATGCAGATATGATGATCCCAACAGTCATTCATGAGAGGGCAGGAGTAGCAATGCCACACAAGAGCTGTAGCAGTAGCTATAACAGACATTCTGTAGGGATGCATCCTTGGTCTTTGTGGCAGTTGCAGAACGGTTTGCTAGCTTGAACCGAGTCTATCTGATGGACCACATTCATTATAAACTACCATCTTCACCCGAATAGAATGCCCGGTCATTATGGCCGTATTCAGGGCAATTTTAAGTCCAGATACAGCCATAATGACTGGGCGTTGTATTTGGGTGAAGACCGTAGCAGGAATTCGTCCGGTGGGGTCTGACCTTTCCACCTTCTTGCCTTTTCCATCTGCTTCCTGGACTCCTTGTGAATACTCTTTTGTTGTATTGATTTAAAAAAAAAAAAAAAAAAGGTTCTGGTGATACTTGAGAGGATTGGCACACTACTGTCTTCCACCAAACACGAGGCACTCTCATAATGAAGTTAAATGAAGGTATTGGCACACTACTGTCTTCCACCAAACACGCGGCACTCTCATAATGAAGTTAAATGAACGTATCGGACTAGAAAGGTTGCTAGGCAGCTAATATACACATGATCACTCTGCCTTGTGTTCGGGGTAAGATAGTAGCTTCTCTCTTCACCTAAACAGAATGCAGGGCCATTCAAAAAAAAAAAAAAAAAAAAAGAAGGCAAGGCCATTATGGTTGTTTCCGGCCTGGAAATAAAAAAAAATAAAAATAAAAGGTTGTTTCCGGCCTGAAAATTGCGGTGTAGGTTGAATGACCATATGTTTTTTTCAGAAGGGGAGACAATAGAACTGTCTTTGACGAATCTGATTGCCATTGGGTCTAGATTCAGTTTGAATGGGTCCCAGTGTGAGTACAGCCTAAGAGTAAATCAATGTTGTTCGCTGAGCGGCAATTTATTTTTCTGGTGAACTGCTTCGGACCATTAAATAAGATAAAATGATTTAAAATCATCATACATTTTCTATTCTAACAAGTGGATAAAATGATTTAAAATCATCATACTTTTTTTTTTTTTTTTTTTTTTTTGAGTAGTCTTCTTCAGCGGTGAATATTTAGAAATCTGTGAAACCCGCATACAACTTTCCCCTGCTCTTTGCATGTCATACTCTATCCTGCCCTCCACATATTTCTTTCCTTCCCGTTGCCCCTACCTCCCCTGCCCCATACTCCCAGAGAATTCCGCCTTCTATCCCTTACTCTCCACCTTCCCCTCCACTCCCTTTGTACTACTAACAAACACATACGAATGAGCATCATTAAGAGAATAGACGATATGAAGCTCAGAAATGAAATGAACGGAAGTATGAAGATGAAGGACGGACACAAAGACTGTGTAAGCTGAAGATCTGAAGTGAAATGAACAGGAGTATGAAGTTCTGAAGAGATGCACAGGAGCATACCTTCCCTTTTACTCTGCCTCCTGAAATAA